GGATGAATATTTAAAAGCATATGATGTTAAAATATCTCGACATAAATTGAAATATATTATCTCCCTTTTCCTTACCCACCCAACCCAACGTACTACAAAAATGGTAACAATTAGTATTCACTTGAATGAATTAAAAAATAAAATCTGGTTTGAAATAGAATATGATATGGAGCTTCATGTGGCTCATATATAAAAATAAAAAAATCATATCTTTTGTACGTAAATGGTTTAAAAATATTTGGACATAGAATAAGATAGTCTCTATTTATTTCTTCCCGAAAGAAATTTTGTGAACAATGAAAAAATTATTGGGATTGTGCAAATATATTTGCCAATTTACTGATGCTGTGTTCGGACCATGATTAAAGCAAAGTATCAAAATTGTTTTCAATGAACTCTGTTGAATGATCTAAACAGACAACATATGGATTCCTTATATATTTAATACATTTACAGTGAAACACAATCTCTTACACTAATCTACTACTCCCAGAAATTCAAACTTGCTCTATTTTGTGATAACGTATACAAATATTTTCAGCATTTTCAACAATTTAATAACATACCTATGCCTATGTGACTTCCTTATCTAAGCATCGGCCCCGACAGGGGTCTCATCTCATTCATCTCAGTGGTAATAGAATTTAATAACATAGTTTTCACCTTTTTTGTAATGACATATAAAATAAAAAGTATTGACTCATACATTAAAAATATATTGACATTTTTAACATTCACACTGCCATATGTAGTTACGCCTTTTCTTAAGTCGAGTAAAATTTCAAAACCGCCCCCTTATCGTTATCCGAAAAGTGTGGAAAAATTAATTTAACCATTTTTTTTTTATCAAGAACTTTTGTAAAAGAAATTTTTTATGAAAAATCGGTGACTTGATCTCAAAGATTTTTTATTAACCACGAAACGTAACGCTTACTTTCTCAGAATACTAAATAATCATACTATGAAAAGTAACGCCTACTAATCTCTAGTAAATTGCAAAGAGCATCAGTAAACGATATCCCAAATCAATGCATCATGTGAATTAGTTTAATCAAAATTAATGTAAAAGCGAAAACAATACTGTTACATTAAACGTGCACATACTGATGCAACCACGTTGTCAGTTTTCTGATTGTTAAATACACTTGAGAACATCACCTGCCTGTGCTTCGTCTACTAAGGACATCAATTTTTAATGAGGATAATTAGGATAGTCATCAACACAGGCAATTTTTCTCAGTTGTATTTGTCGAGCACACTGCAAATTCTGTAAACTTACTGGAACTTTTAAGAGGAACTTTTATATTCAAAATAGACACAAGCTGTTCACAACAATATCGATGAAAGCTTTTCAGTAATAGGTAGGCGTTTCAGTTCATAGCAGATCCGATTTTTGAGAAAAGTTGTATATCAACTTCAAAGTGCAATATACCATTTTAAAGAGTGACCGTTGCAAGAATATTTATTTTCTTAAAATCTTTGCTTCCGCTGTTTAAATTTGAAGAATACCCAGTTGGACTTAGGACCTTAACTATTCGCGATCGCAACGAACTATAGGGGGCGTTTTTGTATGAGACGAATACCTGCGATTTCTATATGAACAGTCATTCAGTTGCAACGTCCCTTCTTTATTGTGGCTTATTAAATTAAAAAAAAAAAATGTTTGATATTCTTTCTTATGCAAACGAAAACAAAATGGTATCTCTTTTTATTAGAGAAGGAATATCCAATACACACCGGAAAAATATTTGTACATAAACAGAAAAAAATATGTATATTCTTATAAGAATTAGAACCTCATGCCCGAGAAATAGTTTTACTAAATTTAATGATATAACATGAAAGGCCCATTTAAACTTTACATTCCATAGTCTTAAGAATCATATTACTTCAAAAATTAAAATGAACAAAAAGTATACATAAGCCTCATAATTTTATGAAATTTAATTTTGTAAAAAAAGTTTTTTGTCAACAATTTTTCTCAAAAAATTTCAAGCTTCAATAGAAATCATTATTTAGAAACTAAAAAACGTAAAATAAAGAATACTGACGAAACAAAAAAACAATTCTTTTTTGTCGCCATTTTTTAGTGCTACGAAAATTCGTCTTTGGGATTTGCCAAAAACAAAATACGATGCAATTTTATTTTTTCAGGAGCGAAATATTTTACCGAAAAAACGAAAATGTACCAATTCCCACGACATGAAACTTTATCTTGGTAAACGTACGTTTTGGAAATGTTATTTCATTTGGAATCTTATTTATCAGAGTTCATATGGCGATATGATTGTTTTGAATCTATGCTAAACTCTATATCGGCTCATTTTCCACCGAAATCCGATTGACTATTTTGATTTTAAATAAAGTGTTTTATTTTATGAATTGTCGCAAAAATTTTAAGTGTAGATTGGCGGCACTTAAAAACAACCAAATCTGTAGCGGCGGTGGCGTTAATACGTAAGTACCGAATTTTTATTCCATACTTTTCTGAATCATATTACTACAAACATTAGAATATACAAGAGATATACATGAACACTTAATGTTATACAATTTAATTTTTCAAAAAAAGTATTTTGACAGCAATTTTTATCAAAAAATTATAAACTAAAAAACGGAAAATATAGAATTCTTAGGATAAAAAACGATTTTAAGAATTCTTCACATTGAAATAAAAACTTTCATATTGTTTTTTTATTTTTATTATTCTTATAGTTCTTAATCAGACGTAAAAAACCATTCTGTAGAGAACTGTTATCAAATAAGAAAAAAAAATATTTACAAGCAAATTTTTATTATAAAAATCATAACACTCACCTGTTTTATAAATCCGCAGAATTCCAAATGAAATGTTCTTCGTTTGAAATTTTTATTTTCAAGTAATATATGCATGGATTATCCCTTCATTACTTATAGATAACATACCACACATCAAAATTTTATAATTATAAGATCTTGATATGAATTTGAATATGTAGCTTAAAAACAGAATAGCTGAATTCTAGTTGAAATTATTCTTTCAAAACTAAAAAGTACTTGCCAAGAAAACTATAAAAAATTATTAATAATCAGCACAAATGAAACTATTTCCAGTAGTTCGGATGATTCTTTATTGTTGTTAGAAATATATACTATTCTATAAAGAAGAAGAATATTCTATAACTATTACAGTTTTGTATGTTCTGAATTCACTTTATTCATTGGAATGAATGTGTGTGTGACATATTAAAGTGAAGTCAACATGAAAGCAATGTTGACTTCACTTTAATTTGTAATGAATTGAAGACAGAAAAATTATTTTACCGTAATACACTCATCTGTAACAGCAAGTGATCATGAAATTGGAAATTATGTTGTTGGTAATAGAAAGATAAAAATTATTGAGAAATTGTCCTTCAAATGCTTAGCGTGTTCTGCTTCAATGTTCAGCATGTTCTGGTTAGTTTTTTCAAGAAGTTCAACCTTTTCCTTAGGGAAATTTTGCATTATTTGCCGCTAAGAAAATGGCGTCCCGTCATTACCAATGGTTATGTGGGAACTAATGTCCGATATTTTCAGTCTCCCGCTAGAGGGCGTACTCAAGCGTTGCGATCGCAAATTTTGTTTTAAATATGGATGGGTGGCCTAATGTAAACAATAACAAGCGTCCTTAAACCGGAAGAAATTTAGAAAATTTCCGGTGTATCCAATT